CATTAGAGCGCTCAAAGGGCCAGACGCTGTCGGGCCGCCGGTGGGCCCTTATAGCCACCGCCGGAGCGGAACACACCGGAAGGAGACGGACCGCCCGGCCACTGGTGCGGGGAGGCCCGAGCCGGACGACTAGCCGTGAAAACGGCAACGTGCGTGGTCCGACCAGCCACCCGACCAGCCCACACATGCAGGCTGACAGCCAAAACGAGCTCGCGCGCCGGCATTGTCACTGATATGTTTTTGCGGAGGAACGTTGGCAGGACACTCGTGTGTAATTGTGTGCTGGGAGGAATCATTCTCGATTACGTCTCGGCTCGTCTTCAAAATCACCAGGCGGATACTATATGTTCAGCGACGCGTTGTGTTTGTTAGTTTCTGACACGGGTTGCGAGAGTGACCGTTAAGGGAGTTAAGTTTCCGGCGTGGGTGCGAATTCTGGTCTTTGTGCAAAGCTCTGAGTGTCTAGATGGACAGACAGAAATGCATCCAAGCCGTCCGGTAGATACTTTGTTACCTTAACCAGTACACGTATTTCCATAAGTGCGCAATGTAAGGTTGTACGTTCCTATCATATCAAATGTATTGGTTTCATATGTCGAAACTGAGAAGTGTGTGTGGATGTGTTTGGTAAGAAGGCCATCCGTATGTGCCTGCCACCACCATTTCACTGTTGTTTCAAAGCCTACCTGTTATATTTTTACAATTGGATGGCCCGCTTTTTTAGTTAAATGAAAATTGATTTAACATGGTTAATCAGAAAACTAGCTTGTGTTGTTTTAAAATGGAGCCGTTGAGATTTTCCAGGTGTCCTGAGTCACTCTGCTTCGGAATCAAGGCCATTAAAAATATCTGGAGCGCCATGTCCTGCCGAGTTGAATAATGCAAATAATACAATTTATTAAAATTCTGTCAGTCATAATGGCAAGACTGCATCTTTAAAACCGAAAAGCAAACAACTGGTGCCCATAGATTGCGCTCCTTTCAACCAAACGTAGAAACAAGCACATGAGGCCAAACTGCAGTTGCCACTCGAGGGGCAAATAGGCGCAAAACAAGTGATAAGCCTACCGGCCGCTGTAGCGCGCAAGCCTTTCATCTAACGAGCCTCAATTAAGAGTGATGCTAAAGTTCCTTCCTTTCTCACACAATCTCTTTGGTCCGGAGCCTCTTTGGATTTATAACTACTCAAAATCGTCTCCTTGCTGAGGATCACAAAAGGGTGCGTTGCATCTACCCGTCGGTACGAGCCATGGGCTGGGTGACCACTTCACTCAATTTCACACAATTACCAATAATGGGTGCCGCAAAGTACAACGGTTCACTATGTCAATGCGTAGTATTGATATGGCATGAGACAATTCAGCAAATAAGTCGTAAGCCATTCAAGTTCTCACGTGACGCTTAGAACGTCGGGCGGATATCTGATTGATGCTGTTACATCGAGTCGTTTGTGTATTTGCAATTGTTAGGCTAAATGGTTTGGACTGGCTTATTGGATTGCAGAGCTTATTAGAGTACATTATTGTTTTGTGAGGGATCCAATTAAGTTTACCGTCGCTTTTGTCAAAGCGCACTTTTCCAAGCTTGTTTTAAGCCATCCGCAGTGAACATTTTACCCTCGTTTCATTTGTGCATCGTGTACAAGGACGCATCCGTTAAACTGATCATCCGAATTTAGCCCTTGGTGCAACACAACGCTGGAAAATGCTGAGAATTTCGACCATCATGCTATGATAAGAGATCTTTTATCTTCTTATACGACTGATGCGAAAAAACGCCAAGTAAAATCCACGCTTTATGTAGCCACTTGTCCAAAAGGCATATCGTCCAACTGTGCTACAAAAGAAATTGGGCACAATGCACTGACCTCACTCCATCCGTGAACACAACGGTTCGCTGTTCCTCAGGGGTTTGAAAATAATGGAAAAAACAGCCCTATACTCCGTCCTACCCACGTCTAGTTTACCCATTCTTTTTAGCTTGTAAGTGTTAGTTAATTGTAATTATTTAACACGGAGGCGTGATGCCTAAAAAACCATTTGCATGTTTTTTATTCTTCTCTAAGGATTTAAAGCAGCACATTCAACAACCTGTCGGCCATTCAAGGTCTGAAATGAAAATCACCGCATTTTGTGTTATGCCGGTTTATTGCTTCTTCGTGTTTGCCTTGCTGCATGCCATACTGTCCGAAAAAAAACACTACGGCGAAAAAAGTTGTCCTTGTTTTGACCTCTTCCAAATTCCTAGATTTCCGACGCCACCTAAAACAATACAGCCATGTGTTGCAGTCCGACCTCGAACGCTGCAGTCAACACCAGCGTCGCCCGTATTTTCTGTCGACGCCCTCTGCTTACAACGCTGAAGTGTGCGTGACGGCTGGCGCTCCAAGCCGTGCCGCGCCCCCCCCCCCCCCCGCCCCTCCCCCCGGTAAACCAAGTGCGACTGTCGTGCCGTCGTCCGGAAGGGAGGGGGAGGGGTAGGGGCTAAGAGGTCCTGATGGGCCGATGGCATGCAGCAGGGCGAGCGATTAGCCCCCACCCCAGCACCGGTCACTAATCGCCCCCTTGCCGTCCTCCGCAGGGAGTTCCTCTGCCAGAACTGGATGAAACCAGAGAAGATGCAGAAGGCTCCACACATCGTCATGATCACCAGACGCTTCAATGAGGTACACGTGAGGGAGTGAAATATATGTAATATTCTTCTATGCGTGGACACAGCATAGAGATCAAAAGTACCTAGATAGTTACAGAAAGAGAGAGAGAAGAGAAGAGAGAGAGAGAGAGAGAGAGAGAAGAGAGAGAGAGAGAGAGAGAGAGAGAGAGAGAGAGAGAGAGAAGAGAGACAGACAGACAGACAGACAGACAGACACGAGACAGAGACCGAGACAAGACAGAGACGAGATAGAGCCAGAGTCAGAATCAGAGTCAGAGTCGACAGAGACAGAGACAGAGGCAAGACAGAGGCAGAGGCAGGGCAGAGGCAGAGGCAGAGGCAGAGGCAGAGGCAGAGGCAGAGGCAGGCAGAGGCAGAGGCAGAGGCAGAGAGGGAGGGAGGGAGGGAGGGAGGGAGTGAGGGAGTGAGGAGAACGACTGCAGTGTGCGTCTATTGGGTGCGTGTGCTGAAATCAGCCAGCATGATAGGACGAGAGAGCTTAATAGTGAATCAGTTCGGTCGTCTGCGATAAGATGGATGCCAGAAGAGGGATAGGGATTGATAGAATTCTAGCCTTTTCAATCGATGGTAATTACGAAGGGTACTTACGTCATTATCTCTAAAGAAGTTCGGAGTGATCCTCGGGGATTTTGGTTCTAAATCTGGCCTTTGTGGCTGATTAGCTGTTGTTTGGATCCGAGAATGGTCGGAGAAGAATTCGTGACTGACTCTGATCTCTTCGGCGTCTGGGTTTCGGATGCACTCGGGAATGCGTACTTCAGTACGTGACTTGAGCACATCAGAATACACATCTAAGTGCAGTAAATGGGGGAAAAGCACCAGCGCGGTTACGATCGGTGTTTGGAGCGCACCAGTCATTTGGAGCACATGAGGCGCATGTTGTGATACAGGGCAGGATAAGTTGGTTGACGATGGTACAGGGATATCAAGCAGGCGGATCAAAAGAACCATCCTGCCTGCTGTGACTCACCAGCCTCAAATGTGAAGACAAACGGAGATTGGAGCGCAGTTTCCGTCCACGCTGCGCAATCATTTCAGCCAACACCCTTCCAAAATAATGTCTGGAACGCTCGCATATGGAATTAACATTTATATGGTCCGAAAGAAACTTTAAATCAAAGAAAAAGTTCCAAGACCAAAACCCTTGAAATATCTCTGAGGTGCTTCCAGGAGATAGGCCCACTCGTTGCTTGCATTCATTCTGTTTTCCTGCTGCATGCCTGAAATGCTCGAAGCTTTCAAATCATCGATCCTTTCCTAGTCACAACACCTCCCGTTCGTCTTTCTTGGTTCGACAAAGGTGCTCTTGGCGAGCGGCTCGCAAGTAAAAGCGAAAGTGGTAACTTTTCTGGAAGTAAATAACGTTCCCTCTATGCGATCGAGTCGGCGGAGTTTCGCGGAACGTTCCCTCAGCCGGTCGTCGTGATGTATCTGCTCTCAGATGTCGGTACTGGTCGTTTCGTCGATCTTGAGGAACAAGAACTCATCGGACCGGGTGCAGGTGATAGAAAAGTGGGCGGCTGTGGGCGACATCTGCCGGTGTCTGCAGAACTTCAACGGCGTCCTGCAGATATGCGCCGCCTTCACGAACACGCCCGTTTTCCGTCTCAAGCGGACCTGGGAGAAGAAAGTCAGCAAAACGGTGCGTTGGACACGGTCTTGACCGTGTGTGGTTGACTGTGCGCTGCTAATGGAACGGACTGGTGTGGGTCATATTTCTAGGTGCCACTGGGGTCTCCTAGGTCGTCTATGTCTAAGACGTAAGCCCCTAGGTGTCTTTCAATATGGTAGTGGCCGGAGTTTGGAATTTGACGCGTTCCTTCGCACGTCTGTGCCCACGTCTCTTTCCCCCACGTCCAGCAGTAGGTGGTGTAACTCATTGTTCCTAGCCGCAGCACCATGTCGGGCAGTTCACCGCACCACTGGGCTGTGACCCCGCCCCCCCCCCCCTCCCCCAGACCAAGCAGACCGTCAGCCGACTGCAGAAGCTCGTCTCGTTTGAGGGCAACTTCCGCAACCTGCGTGACACGCTGCACCGCTGCGACCCGCCGTGCATCCCCTACCTGGGCATGTACCTGACCGAGCTCAGCTTCATCGAGGAGGGCACGCCCAACTTCACCGACGACGGTCTGCTCAACTTCGCCAAGATGCGCATGGTGAGGGCGCTCGGCCGCTGGCAGGCGGGGGCTCGGCCGCGCTCTCGCGCCGGCGCGGCATTCGGCTGGCAGATGAAGACGGGTGATGTTGTGGGCCAATCAGAAAACGCATAACAGGATGAAAGAGCTCGTGCGTAAGTGTTCATGTATTCGTGAATGGTGCTCATCAGCGTGTCGGAGATAATTTGACACCGAGACGACCAGAGAATCTATACTTCCGACGAAAGCATCGAGTAAATACTCGTCTTGCAACAAATGTATCCCATCTGTACACTTGCCATGATGTAAGATCTTCCGATAAGACCTCAGGTCACCGAGTGTGACGTTCGCCTTTTTGCGTGCTTGCTGCTTAGTCTTCTCCTCACATCAGGCACAGCTCAAGCAGGCCCTTAAAACTTGAGCCTAGTATGTGTTTGTGCAATGTTCAGGATGAACTTCGGCGAAAATCAGGTAAGTTAGCCGCCTGCGAACTAAAAAACAAATTAAAAACAACAGACGGTGGCGGATGGACTTTGCGCAACGGCATTGACTCAGTATTACGTTTCTGTTTCTGCGGCGACCCACCTCACCATAACGCGTTATTTGAGCCCAGTCTTTGCCTAGTACTTCCACGCAGTACGGCACTCAGCTGCTTGTCCCACGAGAGCACGCCGGACTAGAGCTGCGGTTTCACCTGTCACCGTACCCCGCTGCGAGCTCGCTTCATCGTGACGACCTCTGCGCCCATGACTTCACCGTGCTTCGGCGCCGCCGCACAGACGTCGGTCCCGTCTGTTTCATCACGGTCCTGTCTGTTCCGTTATCGGTCCCGTCGGTCCCATCGTCGGCCCCATCTGTCCCGTCGTCGGTCCCGGCGGTCCCATCGACGGCCCCGCTGGTCCCGTCGGTTCAGTCGGTCTCGTCATCGGTGCCGTCGGTCCCTTCGGCGGTCCCGACTGGTCCGTCTTCGGTCCCGCCATCGGTCCCACCGGTGTCGTCGGTCTGGTCGTCGGTGTGGTCGGTGCGGCTTCCTTCGCCGCGGCTGGCCGCCGCCTGCTTACTAGTCAGCTTTTGAAGACTTCCTGCCAAGAAGTTGTTCATTGATCATGTGGACGCGTGCTGACGGGGCGGCGCGCCTGCACATTGATCAGGTGATGAGCGGCGGCGGGCGGCGGCGGCGGGCGGCCGCCGTACGCGCGCGCGGTGTCGCCCGCCGCCGGGATGTGTCCGATAAATCAATGGCGCCCGGCCAGCGCCGTCGGACTCGGACCCCGCTGCCTCCACCTCTCCCGGGGCGCGACTCCGCGCCGGCCGCGTGGCCATGGTGCGTCACCCGCGCCTGCCGCCGTGCCGGGCGGGCCTCCTCCGGGGCCTCCGGGGCCTCCCGGGGCCTCTCCCGGCCTCCCGAGAATCCCGCCGTCACCTCCGTCAGACACGGGCATCGTGACCTGCAGGGGGCTGAGGGCGGGGCCTGTTGCGCTGCGTGTCAGCCTGGCTCATATTTCTTGTTTGATCTTGTTGGTGAGAGCGCCGAGTATCGCGTTAGTGCTGGCGAATTGATGCTAATCCTCGGACATGCCATGCGGCAGTCACCAGTAGCGGGCCTATTCAGGATGTATAGCCGGGTGATGATGGATTTGGATCTGATAACATTGATGGCAAGGAAGTCGGAAATGAATTGTTTGTCGGGTCTTTTGATGCAAACCGTTCATGTGTATTTCACAAAAAGTTGCGTTTTTAACTGTGCGCTGTGTGCACACGGCATAGCATTACATGGCCAGTTCTTATCTTGTGATGTCTGTAGCGGTAATTGTACCGGCCACGTTTGATGTACACCGGGCATTACACTTTTCCTGAACATTGGTCACGCACTGGTCAGAAATATCCTCCTACTATCTTGATCATGACCCAGCAGGTAGTAATGCAAGGAGCATTTATCGCCCGTGATGTCAGTGTGACATGAGAACAATGAGTACCGGAACCGTAGGAACACTCCAAAACCTTTTCAAAGAAGGGTCTTTCTGCGCAACGTAACAATGTCAGGTAAAGTTGTTAACTTTCCAGGTTAAGTTTGAGCTTCTACGAATTGTGGAGAACACACTCAACGTTACCAAAACTTATTGAAAAGAAATTGCACAGCTTCACACAAACTGCATATTGCTTGTGTACGCTCTGCTAGGCAGCACGGTTTTGGCACAAGCGTTAAGGATAAACTGGTCTTGTCATGACGATGTCGCGTGTTCAGAAAATGGCTGTGCGTGATGTTTTACTCCCCAGTGGCGAGTAAACTGTATTTACCATCAGTGTAATTGAAACGATCTTCCCATGAATGGTGTGTTTGACATGGAACAGTATTGGCCGACGTGTTTATGGTGTGCAACTGCTGGCGTGTCGTTCATGCCGGCATACCCAGCAACCCTGGCAGAGGAGAGTCGGGAATCATCCACTTCCTAAGCGTTTTTAATGTCCAGAATGAGCCGGAAAACGGCCATAATGCCGTCTGGAAACGAATGTCAACTTATGGCGCTCCTGAAAACTGACAAATGAGATTTGATAACGATGAATGATGTTGCCCTGGACCGTGCGGATGCCGTGAACTTTGGACCATGCATTGGCAACTGGCAACTGACGACCGGTGTCCCGGAGTGTGGATTCCGCCTCAGAAAATAGAGACAAGTCCCCATCTTCTGCGACTTTGGTATTGCGCTGATGACGTTCCACGGACAGATAAGCTTTTAAACGCTGGATATGCCCTCAAATTTTGTCCCCCGGTCCTCGTAGCGTAGCTGATGCCCCGATGGTTTCCCCGTTCGTGTCCTTGCCCTGTCTTGCCGTGATGGGCGCTCCACTGCTCGCGTTACTTCTCCCCACACGTGACACGGTCTCACCCCAAACGTGATGCGGTCTCACCCCAAACGTGATGCGGTCTCTCCCCACACGTAACACGGTCTCTCTCCACACGTGGCATGGCCTCTCCCCTCACGTGACACGGCCTCTCCCCACACGTGACGCAGTTTCCCTCTCACTTGACACTGTCTCTCCCAGCACGTGACACGACCTCTCCCAGCACGTGACACGGCCTCTCCCAGCACGTGACGCGGCCTCTCCCAGCACGTGACACGGTCTCTCCCCACACGCGACATGGCCTTTCCCCGCACGAGACGCGGTCTCTCTCGTCTCTCACGTGGCTTCCCGTTTCTCACGCGGTACCCCACGTCACAGATCGCGCACGTGATCCGCGAGAATCGCCGGTTCCAACAGACGCCGTACAAGATCGAGTACAACGCCAAGGTGTCGGCCTACCTACTGGATACGTCTGCGTGCGGCCTCAGCAACGACGACCTCTACGAGATGTGAGTGGCGCCGGTGGTCTGGTGCTGTATCTCCGGTACTGGTCTGTGTTTAGCGTACTCCGTCCGACAGAAACGTATCCAGGATTTTACGATGGAAGTACACACCCTTTTTCACACGTAAAAACAACGTGTCGTCGGTACGCATAATTGCTTTTTTTCTTTGCTTAGAAAAACATCGCACACTTCTAACGCATCATTTTACGTGTCTGTCACGATTTTTCACGCATAGGCACGAAGGTATTTGATAAGGGGACACGCGTCTCCGGTGCCCCCTCCCCCTCTCCACAAGCAAATACACACTTGAATGCGCATCTGCCGTTTCGCCGACTGTTCAACGTCAGCTCGAGGGGATGCGCCGAACCGTCTCAGTCACGGGGATTGTCGGTCCAGAGCGAGGCCACAGCCAGCTTGGTGGGATGTGAGACGCCGTTTACTGTGGGAGAGCTCCCCCAGTGGGCTGCTGATACGCCCATCCAGGCGGAGCAGCACGGCGATTAACGACACCTGTACACGGCATGTGCCAGTACTAGGCCGAGAATGGGCCGCTAGAGACGCCTGGATTGGTTTAGTGAAGGCGCTGGTGACCTGTTTACGAGATTGCCGTGATATAGGCGTGTATTTCCGAGACCGCCTTGCTGTACTGAAATGTGGATCTGCGTGTGTGTGTGTGTGTGTGTGTGTGTGTGTGTGTGTGTGTGTGTGTGTGTGTGTGTGTGTGTGTGTGTGTGTGTGTGTGTGTGTGTGTGTGTGTGTGTGTGTGTGTGTGTGTGTGTGTGTGTGTGTGTGTGTGTGTGTGTGTGTGTGTGTGTGTGTGTGTGCGTGTGGGTGTGTGTGTGGGTGGGTGTGTATGTGGGTGGGTGTGTATGTGTGTGTATGTGTGTGTGGGTGTGTGTGGGTGTGCGTGTGTGCGTGAGTGTGCGTGCGTGCGCGTGTGTGCGCGTGCGTGCGTGTGTGCGCATGTGCGTGTGTGCGTGCGTTCTCCCAAGAGGACTGATACATTCATCTGACGCCGTTCGCCCAACGTTTCACTCATCTCATGCTGCACGGACAGGTCTCACCCCCTCCCGCCCGAGTAAGCGCATGACGCTATGGCACGCTTAACTGTCGCCCTGAGTCTGTCCCGCAGTCTTGACCTGGCCGTGACCTGATCGTGACCTGGGCGCCAAACTAACCCGCTCCCTGGATCGAAACCCATGCCCTGACCGCTGACCTTTGACCTGACTCTTCGTCTGGCCTGTGACATGCTCCGTCACCTGGCCGTTGACCTGGCCCGTGACCTGACCTGAGACCTGGCCCGTGACCTGACCCGACCTTTACTGGCAGGTCGCTGTCGATCGAGCCGCGCACATCTCGCATCTCTTCGCTGACGGTGCCCACGAGCCACGGCGGCGACGGCGTGAGCAAGATCAAGCCGCGACTCTCCATGGGCAACCTCGGCCGGAACCTGGTGCCCAGCATAGACTCGCGGCGCAGCTCGTTCTCGTAGTGCTGCCGACGAGACGGCGCCGGGCGGCTGAAGGGGTCTGTCGTCTGCGCCGGGCAGGAGGGCTCCGCCCGCACCTCGTGGGCATCAGGCAGGCCGCCTGCCCGGGCGCCGGGGATATCGTAAGACGCGCATCCCCGCGCGGTGTGGGCACCTGGTGGCGGGTACCGAGGACTTCTGCAGAGGCTCCTGAAGGCGGCTCCCTGTCCCTGCCTCACCGTGGAGCGCCGAGTGTGGTGTACATACAGTGCCGTAGTTAACAGGGCGCGTGGGATACACCTTGCCCCCCCCCCCGGATTTTGATCGTTGGCGTGCACAATTGCCATGAAGTTATGCCTTCATGACGTTTCGCCCAGTGAACATATAGCGTTCGGACGTGGGGGGCGGTGCAGACAGTGCAAAAAGGCCAAAATGGCCCTCTGAGGTACTCATCATGAACTGGCTGTGGGGGCCGCCGGAAATCTGCACTGTTTTGAAGTGGAGCCTCAACACAGCGGCATTTTGTTAAGACGCTTAAGCCGCGTAGAGATGCCTTTCTCAGATCTGGCTCTTCCGACACACCCACTTTTTCTGGATCATGGCTGGTGACCCAAGGCCATCACTGGTCCTCACGCTGACTGAGCAGCGGAGGTTTCCGGCCCCCGTCAGGGGCAGCAACGCCACGCGCTCGAGGCCTCATATAGTCAAACACGCGAGACGCTCATCGCGTCATCTGAAAGCCGATTTTTTTGCGCAACACCAGGATAGCTATTCAGCACTGTGCGAAGTCCATCGCTTATCTCGGATGGAGTCTTGAAAGACTTGACGACGCGGGTCTTCATGAGATTACTGCCGCGGCCTCGCTGCCTAGCGCGATACGCGGCCATAGCCGCGCGGGGTGCGCTGGCGGAAGGCAATTTCAATAAAATCGGCTCCAGAAATTATGTGCCCCCCGCTGAAAACTCTCGACTGCGGCACTGTGTACATAAGTAGGTAGTTGCTCACCAGACGCGGCCAACGGGCCTCCACAGTCGTCCGTGGTATGTGGGGAGCGCGGAGCGTGCGCCCACCCTCTGTCCCGACTTCCTCCGGCTTATTAGTTGTGCTCGGTGGTTCCGCTCCGCCCGGGGGTCGGCACCCCACCGCCTCGCCCACCGGGGGTCGGCACGTCGGCGCGAGCGCCCCCCTCCCCCCTCCCCCTCCCTCCCCGGGTCCTTCGACCGGCGGCGTTGGCAGGCTCCGCCGACGTCGCGGTATTGCTTCTCACTTTGTGAACACCGGATGGAGAGTGCTCGGCGAGCTGACGGTGGGGGCGTTGTTTCCTCCCAGCAATGTCGAGGAGATTACCTGAACAGGAACTGTTGAATGATATTCGTAGAGGTTTGTGGGGTTGTGACACTCGCCGAGCCGGCGTCCACATACTCATGCATGCAAATATGACTGGTTGGAATTTACATTGGCGTAGGAGTGTTGTAAATATGGAATGAGATATGGTGTTTTATGTATTGGGCCGTGGATCCCCAATCACCGCTGTCAAACACCAACAAAATGCTGCCTACATGAAGGTTTCGATACCAAAGGATGGTGTGTTTCACACCGTGTAACATCGCGACTGAATATGGGTCGATGCGGTACATGTTGCATAATTGCAACGATCCATGATACAGTTTTCACATGTCTTTTGTTATCGTGTATTATTCAGGTGAATCCAAAAGGCTCTCACCCACTTTTCTGTCGTTCTCTGCTGTCTAAAGTGCGGGTGCGTGCAACACTTTTTGACGGTCAGTTTGTCCACTTTTGGCTTCACTGAGGTTTAATCTCGGTGTAATCATGCTCACTTCAAATGCATCCCTGTGCTCTGATCCTGCTGATTTTCACCAAAAATCGTTATCCAGAACATTTTATTAATGATTCCCGTGGTGTATATCTAATATTACGATCAAACAGCTCTGCCAACCAGCTGCGATACAACGGGTGACACATCTAATGGTGTTGGGCTGCATCATTCATTATTTTTCACAAGGTAAACGTCTTAGTTTGAAAATTTCATTTATAAGCAGCACTGACTTTCAATGCAAATAGTGCAGACTATTCAATCAGCAATCGATCATCCATTAACTCTTAAGGCAGATTTGCTTGTTAGTTTAGTCAGAATAACGTGAAACATGCTGGTCAAGGAGTAATTCACATTTGCAAAGCTGTCCAAGTATTTTAGAAAAAAATGTCCATTTTTCGTCACTAGCTTGGGCGGACTCAGGAGTTGCTGCAAAAGTCAGCTGATAGCCGCACACGGAAAGCTGCCGCCTCCGCGTCGGGAGAGTGGGGAGGCCTTTGATGGACCGAAATCCCGCCGTTGCGTCAGACCAAAGATGCCTGACATTGGCTGTAACACGAGACTAACCGCGCAAGGTAGCGAAATGTGATTCTGAACGACACAGAATCCAGGTATAATTCTCTGAGCTATTTATTTTTGCATGTTGCATGTTAACGGACACTAAATAATGCCGTTCATTGCCAGATTGCTGGAAAGGTAGACTAGTTTCCTTTCTTGTGTGAAGCGCAAGAGCTTTGGGATAGGCAAAACAACCTAGATGTGGGGGTCCTGTACTAAGCCTCACCAAAAAGCTTTAAAGGGGCGTTTTGAATGTCTTTCTGGTGCGGGTATGCAAGCCTAGCATGTTTAGTACCATTCCAGTTGGGCTGTCTTGTGATGCTGCGAAGTAGCCAGACCCTCAAGAATGCCACTGTGCTATTAAAGCTGCATGCCTTGCAAGATAAAAACGTTGGCAAATGGACCTACGCACGCCAATGTCGGTGCGCCGGGTCAGTACAACTACCTTGCATGTACCTTGATGTACTTTCTCAGCTGTGACTGACGTCACACTAACACCATGAGCTATGCTCAGGCAACACCCTCGTTAGTATAAGAAACAGTCTAGTTGGTTGCATGGCGTTAGTTGTTGCGAGCGGCACCCGGCGCTTGGCCGCCGCTTGGCGGGCCCGTTGTGCTCCGCCCGTATGCATTCTGCCCACTAGCTGCGCAGTGGCGCCTATACAAAGGTAACACTATGGTAACTGGATGCGCGGATGCGCGCGTGTTTGGGACGCCTGGCTGATCTTGCGAGGAGGTCTGGAAAATTAAGCAATAGTGTTATGATCTTGACCGAATGCCGACGATGAAATTTTTACATTTTGGTGTGGGATGTGTGACATCGTTGTACGCGTTATAAGTCCCATACTCTCTGTAGCAATGTGGGCCGTTCCCACCTGCCAAGCCGTGCCCCCGAACTTCTGGCCACTGCTGTCGTGTAAAAGTGAGAGCTTTGCAACGTGCGAAAGCCTTCGCTGAATAATGTACCGACACATAGAAGCAATATTATGTCGGATGGTGCACAGGATGCTGCCTCTTCAACTTCATCCAGATTCAATGTAACCATGGACCCTCCTCCGTCGTTCTCGCTATTTTGTCTGGATATAGATGACAATGCATCATGCTTGTACTGTCCCTGCATAATGGCTTTGTAGACCGGTCAGCAGCTCAGTTGGTCATGTATCGATGAGCGAAGCTAAATACTCCCCTCACGTTGCTGCTGCAGTATCCGAAACACCTCTTATTTCTGTCGTTGTTGATCGCCGGTGTCATCTTGCTGTTTATTGAGTGACTATGCCAGTGCAAACTTAGGGATCTGGCCAGACAGCATCCCCGCGCAGGAGTACCTTACCAGACTTTAAAATATTTTTGTGTGGAGCAGAATGGCCTTTAATGTCGTGACCGATTACTTTGTTTGCCAGTGTTCGCGAGTTGGTGCTTACAGCAGGATTTTGCTGGTAACATAAATGTGCCGTTTGCATATTCCGAATCCCTGCTGCTCGGTTTAAGCACTGTACATATGTTTATCATGTTCCATCAAAATTGTTCATCTCGACTATACCGTTTTGAATTTCAATAAACAAACAAACTAAACCGTGTTTTACCATCTGCAGCAAATGAAATGGCTTGTTTTCTATACGACATCAAATTCACAAGCGTTGTAACATCACTGCGGTCACAGCAAAGCGGGGCGAGCCTAACCCGACTGATTCGCTGAAGCCGAATTCAACAGATCGCTCTATCAACACTTTGCAGTGACGCCATCTGTTTCTCCTACTGCGAGAACAGACCGCGAAATTCCCTTGCGCTCCAGCGCGACCAGCCAGCGTTACTGTGTTACCAGGCAGTGTTACTGCGCGACCAGCCAGCGTTACTGCGTGACCAGCCAGCATGAACCCAACACAACGTCCCACTGAACCAGGCAGCGTTACTGCGCGACCAGCCAGCATGAACCCAACACAACGCTCCGAGGAATCCGCCTCACTCGCACTGACCTCTGGCTCTCGCGGCCGGCCCACTGGGGGCGCGCCGCCACCACCGCCGCCCGCGCACTCCAAAACAATCGATTTAGCCCGGCGCGGCGCGCGGACGGCGGCGGCGGCACACGAGGTCGGAGGCGCGGCCGTTGTGGTGCCCCCGATGCAGAGCGCCGCCCGGGCCGCGTGTGAGGGGCGCGTGGGCAGGCCGGGCCGCGGCGCCGCCTGATGCCCCGCCGCCGCCACGTGCCGGCCCCCGCGGGCCCGCCCGCTGCGCCACCGCCGCCGGCGCCTCTCTGATCGCCGCGACCATGGAGCCTTGGCGCGTGTTCCTGGTGGTGTTCTTCATTTTCATTTTCATCTGCGTGGTCACGTGCATCATCTGGTACGCGTTTATCCGGTCGGCCTCGTAGGGCGGCCGCCAGTGATGGCCCCGACACGGACTTGTGGTGCGCGTCTCCCCCTCCCTCCTCTGAACTGACCGACCAGCCGGCAGTGGTACCGGCTCCCTCCCCCTCCTCTCCTTCTCTTTCCCTCTCTCCCTCTCGCGCCCTCTTACCGCCTAGGACGGACACCGGAAGGAGGAGCCATGTGCCAGGTGAGGACGACAACTGCCCGAAGGGTCTCCGCGCGGGTGCTGGAGGCCTGCTATGTTCAGTTTACCTGACCGTCTAGAAAAGGGTGGCATCGATGCTGCGTCCAGACCGCCTTGGTCGGCCGGGTCAATACCAGCCAGCCATTCAGAGTGGTGTGCCAAAACATGTATTTTGCGAGCCTTTGATTTGCAGTCCTGAGCCCCAATCGGCGCGTCAAACAAACACCGCCGAGGCATTATCAGAGGCTGCATGCCTTTGGTATGATATAAGGACTTCTTGTTTTTCGGTCTAAATTTTTCAGGCGGTAACAACCTTGACAGGCCGCCTTCTTGGCTTCTACAGCATATTACCACTATCGATCAACAGGCTCAGTGCCGTCGTTACGAGTGTTTCATAGCTTGGGTTATGTTCGCTCGTAGACTGTTTTTCGAACAAAACAATCACTGAGCGGTCAGCACATGTGGCGCCAAAGTCTTCCTTCCATTCACGGTCATTAATCTATCAATGTTGCAGTCAAAGTACGAGTTTCGTCACTGCATACATGTATTTCTGAATTGTATTCATTATCGTTTGGTCCATGATCTATCATTTTCCATATATATATATATATATATATATATATATATATATATATATATATATATATATATTGTTATTGAATGATTTGTCAGAGCTAGAAATGATCAGCGATTTTCAGCTAAGAAAAGCAGTTTGATCCGCCGCTGTGCATGCCTGAGCATTAAGCTTGGCGTGACCATTATTCATGCCATGTGATGCACACGCATAACGAACGCTGAGTGTTACGCTAAGTCTACTCAATTGTAATCTTAGCTGTCAACTGGAGTGCATTACTTAACAAACGGCATTTGAGTCAACTGCCTGAAGTCGCAAACACTAAAAAGTCGTGTTGCCAAGATACATTGCGGCAACTTAAAATACAAATACATAGCGTCTTGTTTATATAGAATATGATACATAATCATGCTTAACGGTGGTGCAAACCTCAATGCATAAAAACTACTTTGAACATGGAGGGTTTGATCAAGAAACCCTGTCCTTTGCACGCATACGGTCTTGAAGCTACATTTTTGGCAGGCTTAGGAGGGACCGCGGCAAGTTTGCGAACTATTCTGGAAATACCGTCATTCCCACGGCATGTCCCGCCGTTGGTCAGCCGACCTGACTCAGTTGTGAGTTATCCCATCCACGCTGCTGAGCGTGGGCAACAGCTCATCACACTCGAGGCTTGACAGTCTGACGTCCGACCCGACACAGCACTGACTCAGTCGTGGGTTATCCCGTCCACGCTGCTGAGCGTGGGCAACAGCTCATCACACTCGAGGCTTGACAGTCTGGCGTCCGACCCGACACAACGCTGACTCAGTCGTGGGTTATCCCGTCCACGCTGCTGAGCGTGGGGCAACACCCCATCACACTCGAGGCCTGACAGTCTGACGTCCGACTCGACACAGCACTGACTCTGTCGTGGGTTATCCCATCCACGGGCAACAGCTCATCACACCCCAGGCTTTACAGTCTGACGTCCAACTCGACACAGCGCTGACTCCGTCGTGGGTTATCCCATCCACGCTGCTGAGCGTGGGCAACAGCTCATCACACTCGGGGCTTGAATGTCTGACGTCCGACTCGACACAGCGGGCACTCGTGTTATTGCGGACTTGTGCACTGTGACGTGACGATATTGTGCTGGTATCGCACGACCAACACTTTGAGGTCGTGTCAATTCACCACCGTGACTTGATGACCACCACTGAGCGTCATTTTGTGTAAAAGATGTTGCATTGACCGGGCTAGCAAGCACGATCAGTATGTATCGGGGTCATCAAGGATGCCACTCATTTCGTATAGTATTTTTAATTTTTAGCATGATAACAAGATGCGTCGCAAAAAATCAAAAATGGCTTGTGGGTGGAAACCACGAGAAAGTCAAACTTCATAAAGGAAAATTTCTTTCTACCATTAACCTGCCAGACTGTCAGGGGGTCCGGCTGCTCCTGCGCGCGCGTTCTCACACCAGCGCCCGCCAGCACCGTGTCGTCCGTTCTCAGACCAGCGCCCGTCAGCGCCCTGCCGTCCATTCTCACACCAGCACACGTCAGAGTGGTGTCGTCCGTTCTCACACCATCGCCCGTCGGCGCCGTGTCGCCCGTTCTCACACCAGCGCCCGTCAGCGCCGTGTCATCCGTTCTCACACCGGCGCCCTCCAGCACCGTGTCTTCCGTTCTCACACCAGCGCCCGTCAGCGCCGTGTCATCCGTTCTCACACCGGCGCCCTCCAGCACCGTGTCTTCCGTTCTCACACCAGCGCCCGCCAGCACCGTGTCGTCCGTTCTCACACCGGCGCCCGCCAGCACCGTGTCATCCGTTCTCACACCGGCGCCCGCCAGCACCGTGTTGTCCGTTCTCACACCGGCGCCCGCCAGTACCGTGTCGTCCGTTCTCACACCAGCGCCCGTCGGCGCCGTGTCATCCGTTCTCACACCAGCGTCCGTCAGCGCCGTGTCGCCTGTTCTCACACCAGCGCCCGTCGGCGCCGTGTCGCCCGTTCTCACACCAGCGCCCATCAGCGCCGTGTCGCCCGTTCTCACACCAGCGCCCATCAGCGCCGTGTCGCCCGTTCTCACACCAGCGCCCGTCAGCGCCGCATCATCCGTTCTCACACCAGCGCCCATCAGCGCCGTGTCGACTGCGGCGCGCGGTCGCGGACAAACAGATGACTGTGGCGACACGCGCCAGCGTATTCATATGCCCCGGGCACGTGTTGACGCAGGCCGGCGATATTGGTGCTGACGCGAGGTCATGATTGGTCCGGCCCGCTCGGTCGCGTCCCGGTGGCAGACCATGCGCGAGACACGCAGCCCATCACGCTAGGTCGGCCCGCTTCCGGCAGGTCCAATCATTTTTGCCAGCGTGAATGTATTTTGGATCAAATACATGTGGTAGGTGGGCTTGTCTTGGTGCGCGAACGCGGATAAATAAGTGAATGTGGGTTGCGCACAGTTTCACGTACATACATATATATATATATATATATATATATATATATATATATATATATATATATATATATATATATATGGTGGTATATATACCACCTGGCTGGTGGTATATACACCACCTAATTCCGTCAATATATATATATATATATATATATATATATATATATATATATATATATATATATATCTATCTATACTATATCTCTCTCCTCCGTCATCCTCTCTCCTCTCCTCTCTCTCTCTCCTCTCTCCTCTCTCTCTCTCTCTCTCTCTCTCTCTCTCTCTCTCTACTCTCCTCTCTCTCTCTTCTCTCTCTCTCTCTCTCTCCCTCATGATGTCCCACAACTATGCACTGCATTTAAATTGTCAAATATCTTACACACGGAGAACTGAACAACAATGTTAGCGTGGAATGAAGACGCAGTTTATTATATTGTTTGGCAACAAGAATAGAGCATTTGACAAAAGACGCTTTATCTAGAGCATGTGCTCATGGATTCTTCCTTGTCGCACCAGACACACGTCGGCCCTGTAGTAAGCCTTATACGCGACCCCTGCGGCACTTCTCGCTGACCAACAGCTTTCTTAAACTTTCCTTGCGCTCATCCAGACCTTTTGATCCTGATCTGTAAATACGCGCCTTGAGATACCATATAAAGAAGAAATCTAGAGAGTTATGTTTGCAATATGCGCTGGCAAACTGGTCAGGTCTCTCCTGGAGATCAATCGACCGTCCAGATGAGCTCGCACTGACTGCAGTGACGTCCAGGCCGTGTGCGGGGCCTCCTCGCGTCGCTGAACCCACTGGTGGGTTGCCAACGCACCTCCGTTCCAGTGCCGCGCAGAATCGATTCGGCATGAAGATATTGCGCTCAATATCGATAGCTGTGATCTCGCTGTGACGGCCCTGTAAGAAGGAAAGTTCGATGATGCTTTATCCGTTGAGTGGAGGGCAGCAAGCAGAGCTGCCTGAGGCGAATTAATCAAGGTCTTAAGAAGCAGCCCCATCGGGTGGACCTCAATCTCAGAACTGACAGCTCTGACGGTTTACTTGGCTGGGAGGGTAAAAATAAGCCTCATTCGGAAATCAGATATCGCCGACGAAGTCCTTGGACGGGCGCACTTCTGCTTCCACCAGCGACAAAAAGCCGACCGCTCCACCCGGTCGGTTTCTGCCAGTTTTTGGCGGGCAGAGGTCTTGTATGGATTCGGACCCAGAGCACTCTGGAGTATCCGGTGCGTTGTAAGATGACTTACGTGCGTCTCGGGAGTGGCACGCCGCACAGAAATTTTGTCGTCTGGAACACTAGCATTTCCACGTGTGTAATAGTTGGATGTGCCGACATTGTGTTCTCCGGCCCACAGACTCCTCTGTATTGGCTCTGGACTGCTGCACTAGCAAGAACCTTTTCGACAGCCATTACAATTTTTGATATCGCAGCGGTCTGGGTTGGATGATGTTTTTCATTTGGGCTGTGTCAAAGCGATTAACTTAGTTTCTGGGAGAAATCAAAGGGTCTTGATTCTTTCACCCGTGTTGGAATGATGCATCATCCAGAGCGACGTATTAAAAGTGACACAAAATGAAAACTTACTGCCTATAAATACATCGTATCAGATCGTGATTGCTGGGATATTGACTCACTTATTATGGGCACAATTGTGGTGCGTGATTGTGGGAGTACCCTGTAGGAACATGGTAGAAGCGATCGTACAATTCCGTTACGTCCGTGGCAGAGTCGCTCATGCTTGTTTCGTGCTTCACGTCCGTGTTTTTCACTGCGCCAGTCAGTCTTAGTGGGTACAAGTCTCCATGGTGTTCGGGCTTTGTCCCAACAATGCATCTGCGCCCCTCGGATATTCGTAGGGGCCTCGCGGCTACCAGTGGGATGCACCTGCTACCAGTGGGACGCACCTGCTACCCCGTGGGATGCACCTGATACCCGTGGGATGCACCTGCTGCCAGTGGGATGCACCCTGCTACCCGTGGGATGCACCTGCTACCAGTGGGGACGCACCTGCTACCAGTGGGATGCACCTGCTACCAGTGGGACGCACCTGATACCTGTGGAGGCACCTGCTACCAGTGGGATGCACCTGATACCCGTGGGATGCGGTCGCTTCGGTACTTTTCCAAATCAGTGGTGCTTTCCTGCTCGTTACCTACCCGCTTGTATTGTCTATCGGATCAGTTCTGAACTCTGAAAGATATGAAAACGTTAACGTTTTTTATTTTGTTCCTTGGTATTACTGCATGTAAGGTTAGCGCGAGCAAAGATTTATTGTGACTAGACGAGCGCAACAAGTGACCATATTTGGTGCTTCTTGAAGTCATTTCTCCCAAAGTTTATGTGTAACCCATCCATGTGGGTGCCCATAGCTTTGTCCATACCAAAACGTTGAATGACTTGGCTTCCCTCCCGGTTTTTATACTTTTGCTATGCACACACATTCGATTGCCGACTTTTGTTAACTCTGGCGAAGACGTTCGGAGTTTGAATCTACATAACACGTCTTCCCGTTACTACACACTTCAATCGTCTGATGTTTGATTTATAACGTTCCACAGCAATTATTTATAACCGACGCAGGGTGATTTCCTTCCCCGTATGGTGTGTCTATTGTATCAATTGGCACATTGCTTTAGCACCTAGAAGTATGTAACGCATGCCAAATCAATGTCAACCAGAGAAACAGCTGGCTGTGATTCTCCCTTGGTTCTGCACTAAGGTGCGTCATCAGAGACAAAACCGAGTTAGACAAAGAAATTATTTGGAATTGGAGGCCAAAAGTACACGGGATAGCAAAAGTTTTTCCTAAAAAAATGTAATTCGTGACGCGCGAATCGCTCATAATGTCGCTGTAGACCGACAGCCGGCGTTGCAGTCACCACACCCTGGGCGGCGTTGGTCGCCGCAAGTAACATGAAGCCGAGGGCGGCAAGCAATACGAAATAGCTTCGCGTATAAAAACGATAATGCGGAGCGCTCCTTAAGTCACCACAAAAATGTACCAGTCTAAGGTCTTATGTGCGGATCAGACAATGCCCGATTGATCGTCATACGGCAGACGCTTTGTGTGTTGTTGAGTATGAACCCATGAGAGGACGTTACTTAGTTCTGCTTTAGGCTTTCACTTCTCTAAGATAACACGTGTGCTGCAAGTAAAACCATGCGTAGCATACGACGCAGGGTATATTGCCTGGTGTGCAACTTAATACTTGTTGCAAGGTCCGCAGCCTGCACCACGGGTGTAGAGCGAGGGTAGGGCGACCCCATGCACATCTTGCTCCTGGCCGAACCTGTATGTTCGATACACCGGCCCAAACAGCAGCTGCTCACAGACCGAAAAACCCGAAACACGCTATGAAGGAGATCGCGCAGTAGCAGAAGTACCGTCGCAGCTGGGCTGTTCATATTGTCGAAGTTCCAGCTGCAGCTCCAAGCGTTTCTCAGCACTGCCCCGATGGTCTCACTCTGTCCTGCGGCACGTGCCCGTGTCGGCACGTGCACGTGCACTGCTGCACTAGTCGCTGCCAGGCTGGTTGATACGCGGCGCTGCCGTCTCCATCATGCGGGCTGCGCGTACCTCCAACTTTAATTGCCGCCGTGCTGCTGAACTAGAAGCAGAGGACGCAGAAAGACGCGTCTGCGGGAGCGCCAAGCGCTGTTCAAGCGGCCCGCTCTTCTGTCTACCCCCTTTCGAGGGACCGTCCGGCATCCGGACAACGGGCGAATGGAATGGTGCAGCGGGCAGCAGCGGGCTGCCCTTGTCGTGGCCTGCTGCTAAGACCACCTGCGGCAGACGCAGATACTGATAGTGATAAATAGTGGTAGAGTAAGTGGGCTGTGATAGAAGCACAAGCAATCATGGAATTGCTAGAAGACACCGTGCGTGTCGTGATCATGCATTTACATTGACCAACTGAGACATAAGATGTATAAGATTCGGGAGTTTGTATGATGGATTGAAGTCAGAACGGGAAGTCTGATACTTTGCGGATGTGGTTAGTTAACAATTACCAGCTTGTCTTCTGAACAGATCTCTCCTTGAGTTGACGTTTGGGAGAGTCTGGCCTTTGCCTGAGCTTGGCCGTGTTGAGGGCCATGCCGCGCCTTTTTCTCCCAAACAAGCTCCGTAACAAGTTGCGTGATTCAAAGTCGCAGCTACTGTTATGCGGGATGGCAGACCATACCGGCACACAGTGGCCGACCACGCACTGGACGAGGTCCTTCAAAGCGCTGCTGGCGGTCTCGGTGAAGGTGTAAGCTATGAGCTGGCGAGCGGCCCGTGTCAATCATCTGAAAGCAAAAGCGGATAGACTAGAGGAATTCGTTACGAATTGAACATTATATCATGCGAACATTATTGCGCTGCTTTAGTGTATGTAATCATTCTGACATTAAAGTCCTTAAATGCAGCGGAATACATATTAGCAAATATGTTATTAAGCATGAATCAACGAACAAATGATACGACCTACAATGACACACATATGATAATGAGTTGATGCTCAATGGTGAGCACATACAATACCAATGATGCGTGTAAAGTTTTAAAACATACATCGCTATGAATTCGAATAATGCGGTTGCATATTTACTTCGCGTGGTTCATTGGTCTAATTCAGCCGCAGGGCTGTCCGCTGTCCGGACGAGCCGTTTTGAACACCGGAGGCCAAACAGGTACAGCAGCTCCTAATCGGTGCTCAGCTGCTGGATCAGGTCAACCGGCAGTCTGGCAGACTTCCGCGGTATGGGCTCGAAAGCTAACACGTCCCTCTCCTGGCATCACCGGCGCACATCTTGCCGATGAGTCCAGAAAAAGATTTCGTTCCTGTGGTCGTGCCGTCCGAGCTCAGCAGCAGACGGAGGAGGTTCAGCTCATTGCCGTGCCGCTGCCAGATGAGCCAGTGCACGGATGACTCGATGGCCAGCTCAAACAGTCGGAACACGCCACCTGTCGTTCTGGTGTTGACGACCGTGTCGTCGCAGCCGAGCACATTGACGTGACCGTCGCCCTGCAGGCTCAACGGATTGTAACTCGTTGATCAAATGCAGGGCGCGGCTGGACTCGGACGTGAAATGAGTCACGTAGCGGCTGTCTGGCTCAGCGATGACAACCACTTGTTTTTCGACGCCATTTGCGTGGCTACGTGTGGTTCATGTAGGTCCTGCCTTCGCGGCTGTCGAAGTAGATGATGGTCAGACCTGACTGGTGGGTTGATTCAGCATTTTGATCAGTCGTGTTCTTTCTCGCTCTGCCTCCTGCGCGCCAGATCTTCTTAGAATCTACGCAGCCAGTCCATCTCAGCTGTCTTAATGGAGGGCGTCGATGACAGCAGTGGCGTGCCGGCTCGAGCCACCATAACTGTCAACCGCCAAAGCGGTGTTAGATCGTTAAAGTTGCGATCTGCAGTGGCAGCGGTCCCACCCGGAACGAACAATCAGAGTCGTCGCCACCTTATACCATGTGCAGAGCCGCATCAGAATCCGTGCTCTCGGCTGACTCGCCAGAGGCGAGACCACTTGGTCCCGAAGCAGGCTCGAGTACAGCACTAGCACCCGGCGCTGGCTCAACAGGCGGCGCAGGCTCAACAGCCGGCCGGGAGGCGACTCGGGTTCAGCAGCAGACACCGCCTCACTGGCGGCTGAGCCACGACGCCCTTGGAGCTATCTGACCATCCTCCGCACCTCGCGAGCCTCCCTAGTCACAAATGTGTCCCGGTCATATGACCCCAGGGTAAGCTTCCGGTGCCTGCACGAGTCCCTCAAGAACGCAAGCTCCTCTTGCTACACGCTGTAGGCGATCAGACATGGTGAGCCTCGCTGGGACTTGCACTTGTACTTCGCGACATCGAGAAGCTTGCTGAA